TGAAATGTAAGAGTAAATGGAATGCGGTCAGTGTTATCCTTCTCAGCCGTTTGTTTCATCATTTGAAACTTGAACTTGATTTTTGAAACTTGGAACTTGATTTCTCAGCTGAAGATGAAGCACCAAGCACCTTTGAATTGTGGTATGCTCTCTTGTCAAGTAAACTTCAGACACTCATTGCTGATGCAGAGAGGAATGCATGGCCTTTTGTCCCTGAGAAATGGTAAGTTGATTGATAAAAATTCTAATCTTTGTTGTTTTCGAAAATTCTGGTCGTGTCCACCATTTCTTGTCCAAATGGGGTTTAGTCTCTCAAGGAGCTGTTTTAGGTGTTGCTTCAAAATTTAAGGGAAACGACTACTATATAAGGCAATGATTGTGTCCCTGCACAACCTTAAGATTAATATTGATCTTCCCTGGTTGTTTTGGACTTGAAAAACATTAAACACTGGCAGATAATCCACACTTTTTCCCCAAAATTGTTCGTAAAAAAATAAGGGTTGTGGCTTATCTGCAATGCATCCAGAAAAAGTGCAGAAAATATTCATAAGTTAACACCATTCATCAAAAATTTCTACTTGTAAGTCTGTCTAGCAAATTTTAAAACCAGAATTTCATAAAGGTATACCAGGGTACACACTGATCATTGCTTATGCAAGGTTGGAGGCTCCTCGAAGAGCCATTTGTGTTCATGAGCATTAATGTGGTGGCCAACACAAGCGAAGCAAATTTTCAACGACAACTATGACTTTTACAAATGAAGAAACACTATGAAGCGAAGATATATTTTACGGACAAGCCTTGAATCGTTTTATTTAACGTAGTCAAAGTATTCAAGGACTTATCGTAAACTGAAATATGAAATTATATGGAAGAAGCTAAGCTAAATTCTAATATACGAACCAACATTCCAATTATTCCGATATAAAGGCTAGATCCAAAAACTAGCTAAAACTCAAAAAGAAACTCACGAAAAGACTATCTTGAAAGAATAAAGGAGAACCGCTTGAAAACGAACTCTAACAAAAACTAATAACTAAATGGGAAAAACGTGTAGTGCTCTAACGAAACGTGAACAACGTAAGCCACGTGTTACGAGGTTGCGAAAACGAGCGATAAAGAAACTAGTGTAAAAACTAGGAAAAACTACCAAAAGACTAGATATATAGGCAAGCACAAGGAAAGGAACATAGGCACTTACATAATAGTCCCGCTTGTAAGAGTTTAACCAAAACGAACTTCAGGTTAAGGTGGGCAAAAGGCGCTCTTCCGATAAACACGTCTTATCGTTAGCCCAAAGCAAGACAACTAACTAAAATGCGGTTCTGGGTGGAACTTAAAGATCACGTCCCTAATGGACAAACAGTAATGTCATTATTGCGGTTTAACACATTTAACACGAAACAAGCTTACTGTGAATCAATGCCCGGTGGCAAAGGCGTGGTAGCCGTTATAATTAGTTTATATTTATTGCTGACTGTTGAGTAGTGTTAAACTTTCTTCACCGACTTAAGAGACCTTTTAACCAGTTTAATGTCGTCTTCCTTGAGCAGCTAATTATTACTCGGCAAGAAATCTCCAATACTTCACAAAGCAGTAAGTTTAAACTATCACTTCAAAAGTTTTATTAATCCATTAGGTACCCCTTTCCTAACTAAATGCAAGACTACTATGCTACAGAAAAATTAAAGATTTCCTGTTTACTTAATGCTGATTGGCTGTGATAGAAGGCATTTTTCATTATTGGAAATTAGGTCTTCTGCTGACAGTCCTTTTCATACATTGCCCGCAGGGGTTCGATCCTGTATCTACACACTCCCACTGCTTTAGCTGTGAACCCTCATGAATAGCCTGATCCTTTTAACATTGAAAGCTTAGTATTGGCAATTTACCTTAACACGAATGTGCTATCTGTCCAAAAGTAAGAATTGCCAGATAATACGTATAATCCATGATGGATTATTTGATTCAGTCTTGTGGCTACTCATACCCCAGACAACTCCAATTGGGGAATGCTGACAGATTTCTGCGGCATTTGTTAGAAATTATTGATTAGAAATGAACAGCCAATGTCTCTACTACCGCTCGTCCTTTCTGAGACAAGTTGAATGAGGTGTGTGACCTGTTTGATGCAGCATGACCAAACTTCTTTGGTTCCAAACAAAGATTAATGCCAAATTTTCATACATTAGGTAGCTTCCCCAACCAGGCTTCCAAGCGCTTTAGATCTTCCCTTGGAATTTGATGTACGCGCTGTATAAGTTTATATAAATCTAACATAGTGAAAAGTAACAAAAAATACACTCTTGAATGAGATAAATATACTAAAAATTCTCATTGTTCACGCACTTAAGAGGCTCAGTATATAAAGCTAAAATCTATTCTGTCAACTATTATATCACTGTATTTATTGGTTACACGAAAATCTCTTTACAGTTTCACAGTTCTGTGAAATAACCCATTTCTAGGAATGTTCAAGTGTTAACCTTGTTACTTTCGGCCCAAATTACATGTTCAGTTATTTATCTTGGTCTAAGTATGCACAAGACTGTGGCGCTATAATCAAAATTACAGTCTATGCTTAGTTCTTCTACTTACTTCTTGGCATCTTTAAATATGGATCTTAATTGACTTTGTTCTTTTTTCAGCTGGTATGACTTTACGAGTTTGATGTGTTGGTCTTTAGAATTGTTGATGTAGGGGGCTATTTTCAACTTGGTGTTCTTGTATAACTTTTCTAATTCGACTCATCATTTCCCTCCTTTTTTCTGGCTGTAAGTAAAGTAATGGTGTTAATTTATACTTGTGTTTTTTGCTACAGTCACTGATAACTTTCCTTGTTAGTCAGTCGAGTTCTTTGAGGAGATTGAGGCGCCAGTTGGTGGTCCACATACAGTACTGTTAGACAGGTACAGTATAAACATTAGTGGCACGGACTTTACGTGGTATTGACAATGGAGAAGTCCAAACTGCCCAAAGTCGATTCTTTCACTCCTTGGAAGCTTCTTCAATAACTTTATTCTCTAGATGCCGAGTGTTCTAGTACTTTCCTAGGAATTTATAATGATCTTCATTGCCTATAAGGGGATAAAGCAGTTGTTACTTACAGGCATTTCAGTGGAGTTGTCGTTGATTGCTAGTGTTCCTTGCTTCATATGCGTTGCAGCACACTTGTTGATTCCCCATTCTAAACCAAAGTCTGCAAACATCTTCTTCAGCTTGCTTATCACAGTTACTGCCTTTTGTTCAGATTGATGGCAAGTTTTCAAGTAATCAACAAAAAGGGCATAGGTGATTTTTCTGTGTGGGGCATGTGATAGTTGTTATCCTTTGGTACTCCCAAGTTACCATGCAATTGGTTAAGTGATGGAGTAAAAAGTCGCACACAGAAAGACTTTGAAGGGGCCAATGGTTTCTTTGCCTTGATGGATGAGGTCTGCATTTATGCCGTGCATTTCAAGAGTTTTGGCGATCCACTGGTGCGGGACAGAGTCGAATGCATTTTTCACGTCTACCCAGGAACAGGGTAGGTTCTTCTTGTGAAAGTGGGCGTCTCCTTATATCATCTTATCAATTAGCAGGTTGTCTACGGTGCCCATTGATTTTATTTTGCCTCCTCTTTGATCAATTTGCATTAGATTGTACTTGTCCTCGTGCACTGGTAGTTGGTGGTCAATCACTGACGTGATGAGCCTATATAGGGTGTTTAAACAGTTTATTGGTCAATGGTCAGAAGCGGATGGGTCGTCTCTCTTCCGAATCATAACACTTCTTCCTATCATAAGCCAAGCTGGTATCTCTAGTCTCTCAGTAAGTATGGTGTTCAGAGCTGTTGTGATGTCTCCATCAATGGTATCCATTTCCTTTATCCAATAGTTAGTGATTTTGTCTTTACCTGGCAAAGACCAGTTTATCTTGTTTTTAATGCTGTTGGTGATCATTTCTTTCGTCATCTTCATTAGATCACTTAGGTGTTTAATGTGTTTTTTAAGGGCTGTTTCAGTATCCTTTATCCAATCTGCTTCAATAGGTACTTCGCTTGCACTCTCCCATATTGGTCTCCAGAATACTTTAAATTCTTCTGTTATTGTTGTTGCTGCAGTGGGGGTGGTTTCTTGAGTAGCAGAAGATGGCTTTTCTTTACCTATATATTGTGGCTGTTAGTTTGTTTCCAATGATTTGACGATGTTATTTAAATGGCTGTAGAACGAACTTTCATCTACATCAAACCACTGGTTGGTCTTGAATCTCTCATAGGCTGTCTTCTATCTTTTCTTCTGTCTTTTCAGGGCTCTGATGGTGTTAATCTTTCTTTTCTTTAAATCTGTCAAATTTGCGATGGTTATTCTTCCTTAAATGTCTTAAATTATTTAGGATCTGTTTTTCTTCATTCTCGACGTTAGTTGATGATTATTGCGTATTCTCTTTAATTCTTTGCATATCTGAGAAATTTGTTTTTGAAGATTGTTAATTTTTCTCTCTATGTTAATCATCCATCGCGGTTTCCCGCTAGTTTTGGTGTGTTTACATCCTGCTTATTCAGTCTCAGTATCTTTCACAATGCCATCGTAGATACACATGGCTGCTTGCGTTATTTGTGAAATTCAATTAAGATCTTCAACTGTCCAGTCACTGCTTTGTTGTTGTTCACTTGTTTGATCTTCGATTTCTGTCTCTTTATTGTTTGGTCTTTGTTTCCTGGTTTCTCTTTGTTCTTGTAGCTCATTTGTTATGCGTAGTGCACATACCTTTCAAGTTTTATTTAGATGTGTTAATTTTTCCCTTAAAAATTTGTGCTGTTTTTCCAAGATTTGTATCCCTTCTCGTTCCAAAACTTTAACGTTGACAGCATGATTCCATTCTTTCTTCCTTTTTCATTAGTAGGTCATTCTTTCGATGTGTGTTGTTGTCTAGCTTTATCTTTACATGTTAATAAATCAATGCACATTTGCTCCGTCCATCTTGTCCAACCATGTTGGATTCTTTCCGCACTCACTTTGCAAAGAATTGTATTTCTTGAGTCACTTTGAGCGGGCGATAGGTTGTAGTTGATGTTAACTGTCATTAAGATGGAATAAATTTCCAAAAAACACATTTCAAGAGTGTTTTAGAACAAATTTTTACGGAGCGCGAAGACTGTGGTGTTTATTTTTGTTATCATTATTACTATTATTATTGTTTAGTTTTAAGCCCTTTTTTGATGCTCTTTCCAGAAATTACTGCAATCGTTCATCATGTGTTGCTTCATCTTCCGTGCCGATTACGTCATCCATTATGACCTCAACACCATCCAGGTCTTCAATCATCTGGGCCATGGTTCTTTGGAAGATTTCCGGGGCACACTTTACGCCGAAGGGCAGCCTTGTGAACCTGTAACGACCAATTGGAGTGTTAAAGGTGCATAGAGGCGAGGACTCTACATCTAACTTTAACTGCCAGAAGCCACTTTTGGCATCTAGGATGCTGAAAGTATGAGCACATTGAAGACGGCTAGCAACTTCATCAACAGTTTTCATAAGGTAGTGAGACCTCTTCATGGCAGCATTTAAATCTCTAGGATCAATGCACAATCTCACTGAACCATTGGACTTCTAAACTACTACTAGTGAGTTCACCCACTCTGTCGGTTCCTCTTGGCGCACAATAACTCCGAGCTTTTTCATCCTTTTCAGTTCTTCAACAACTTTCTCTCACTGAGGTACTGGTATCTTCTTTGGGGAATGTACAACAGGGGCAGCACTATCAGCCAGTTCAATGCGATATGTCCCAGGCAAGCATCCTAATCCTTTGAACAACTCTGGATAGTCATCTAACTCCACCGTTCTTGCAGGTGGTGTGTCGCTGGTCAGCTGGTGAACTCTCTTTAGTAGGCCAAGTTTGACACAGATGTTTCCACTAAGCACTAATTCCACTTCGGGTTCTACAACAAAGAACTTGACCTCTTCGACATTATCTTTGTATTTTTCGCTTCAACACCACTTCTGCGCAAGGTGTTAGTCTGTGCTTTGAGAGGGAAATCAACATAGTGTTCGTCTTTGTCAGCGGTGGTCTTCGCCTGTGATTGTCTTAGATCTTCGGTGACATAGCAATAGCCTTTGCACCAGTATCTAGCTGGAAGCGAACTTCAGTATCTTCCACTAAAATAACTTCATAAAACTGCTCGTCTTCTGGAACACGGCTTGACTTAACTGAGTAAACAAACAGCTAGTCATCTTCGCTCTCTTCTTGGTCGGAGTCCCCTTCTGTTTCCTGGTCGGAGTCGGCTACTACTGAATGGACCTCCTTGGATAAACAGAGTTTTGAGAAATGATTCATCTTTTTGCAGTGTCTATACTGTTACCCCATTGCGGGACATTTCTTGTGGGCTTTGTCATAACCACACCGTCCGCATTTGTATTTCGATTCGACCTCCTCCGCTTCGGCGGTCTTCTCGGTTTTCCTTTTGCTTTTATTTGAACGCTTCTGACGATTCCAGGGCGGACGGTTGGGTCTTCGTCACTGGCGAGCTTTTTTAGAATGCTGAGATTTGTTTCGTAATTTCGACTGATTTCGATGGCCTTTTCACATGTCTGCTTGATCCATGCATTTCTCACGCACTTTGGAATGTTTACAACGAAAAACGATCGCGTCTCGAACCATACGTTCTTCCTCTTGATAGCCACAATCCTTAACTAGAATTTTCAGATCTGTAACAAACGAGTCGAAGCCTTCATTGTCTCCCTGGCGTCTTTCGTTAAATTTCAAAGCAGCCATTATGTGGTTTTTGCGTGGCGCACAATATTCTTCGAATCTCTTCAGTACGACCTTCAATTTCGCGGCATCTTCGGGTTTTGCGAATGTGAATCCTTCGAATACATCCAACCCTTTATCGCCTACCCACAACTTCAGGTAGCTCACGTGCTCGTTCTCTTCTTTCTTGTGCAACGGGCCGTCAAGAATGCGTTGTGCTTGTCGGCTGAAACGGCGCCATTCTTGATGCTATTCTTGAGCGGTCCACGATATCTCCGGAGGTTTGAATTTCGCCATTGTGGCTGTTTTCACAATCTCCGGGAATTCTGTGTTCTATTTCCAGTCAGCTGTTAGCTTGATAGCTTGTTTTTCGGCGTGGAAAAGAATCTCTTCCTGACACCATGTATTAACACTCATTAAAAGATGGCTGACAACTCTAAGTCATTGTTCCATGTGCTCAGTCACGTGAGATACATTGTGACTGACTAGGGGGGGGGGGAAAGTAAACCTGTTACATTTTATATCACACAAGCCTGCTGCTTTGGACACTCAACTACCTTCTCACTACAGGGTACCCACCCTCATGCTGAGCAGTGGCAGGGCATGAACATAACTGCATTTCAGTAATCCTTATGTGGGCCAAGACCCAAGCAAGAGAGAAGAAATACTCAGAGAGAACCATCATAAAGCTGAATAACTGAAAACTTGGCTAGTGAAAATATCCAACTTCCCCTATTTTTGCCAATTTTATAATCTCATTTACTGGGAAAGCAAAATCTTATTGAGCTATCCCATTCTTACAGGTACCAGCTATCCTAAAACAATAACATCTATCTTTAACCCTTTCACTCCCAAGATTTGATTGTGAATTCTCCCCTCTTGCTGCTACACAATTCATGTAAATTAGTTACAAGAATGTGGTGTGATGGTCACGTGATTAAAGTACTCAGGGGGCTGGGGTGGGTTAGCTGTCTACCCCTTACACAAGCCATGAAGCAATTCATAGAAAGAACCACTCAAATAAAACTAAGAATAATCTTTCAAATTAAATTAAGTCCATGTTTATCTCCCTCAATCAATATTATTAGTTATTAGCAGAGCTTTGTACCTAATATTTTTACACAAACACCAGACAAAGTTCCCCAATGTGTACCCAACAAAGGCTCATGCTTGAAGAATAAGCTTGTGCACATTCAACATGGTTAAAACTCCCTCGTTTATTGAGGTACAGTTTCTTTTAAATGCTCCAATGTAAGCATTTCTAGTGAACCACTATTTGAAATGTTATTCAATGTAAATTTTTCTTACAGGCAATACTCTTCCAGTGTTGGACCAGAAGAGAGGTACAATATTAAGGATCTACTTACAGCTAAGAATTCTACTGCTCCGCTCTTAAATGAACTTGACATTATGGAGGTGGGTATTTTGTAAATTTTTTAACCCTGTTATAGAACCATAAAACTTTACACAAGTCTACCTTCACCCTGAAAGAGACTCAATTTTGTTGCAGTGTCAAATACATTGAACTGTTTATATTCCAGCCGTATGTTTTATGATCAAATGCAGTCAGTTAAAATGGTTCATATATAACAACAACTTGTAGAAAGTTGTTCAGAGTTATTTTGCATTATTTTATTTTTAATAGTCTTTTAACAAAACCCTGGATTACTATATTAATGAGGATTTCAATGCTTTCTGTCAATTGTTTCAAGGATGATGTCAAGTATTTAAAATCTATTTACAAGGATGTACTTACCAGGAAAATAGTAGTCACCCAAATCACATTTACTACATTGTAGTAGAGGTCACACTCATGACTACAATCTCAAGATGACCAGTAATACTCTGGCGTGTAGCAACTGGAACATGTGCTGTATGAAGTGTTGTGGCTCATTTATTGCCTTAAATTAAGAATGCAGTGTGTAAATGCTAAAAGTAGTAGTATATACATATAACATTGTTAAATAGGGTAAATATTCGAAGGTTGTATTTTATTTCTGTAAGTCAGGTTTTTCAATTGCAATAGAGAATAACAAACAATTTATTATTATTATTATTATTTTTATTATAATTACTCAAGATTTTGTAGAGTACTTTGTGCTGGACTTTGGCAAGGTTTTATTTTGGTGGTGGCAGAAGATGGTGGATCAGGCAAACTATTGTATCATTTGGTGTGCTTGTCAACAGCGGAAAGACATTGGTTACTCCAGATTTTGGTGGATTTGTAACATTTTACATGAAGAGAGAAGCACATAATTCAAGTTAAGAGTAAAAAGAGAAAGAGCATTTAATTTGCACTTGAAAGGAGAAGAGGTTTGAAACAATACATTGAAGCAAGCTCTACAATTACAGGTTGCCAGAATTGACATTCCAAAAGTTGATCTCATATTTGCATATTGATGAAGTCAAGCTATAACTATGATGTTAAAGGATTATTTTGTCCCCAAAGTGAATTTCCCTTTGTGAGAAAATTGTGTATTGAACAATTCCACTAGATGACTCTCCTCTGTCAAACTATGAATAACACTATATTAAATACAAAATAAATCACTTAGATGTACAAAAAGCTGTTATAGACAAGCTTACACATCACATCTTAGTGTACATCTATTGAATAACATACAAAATATTTTATCCTTCACTTGTATGGCGCGGCACCGGCTATTCATAAACCATAAGGAACAAAGAATGGTGGAGGAAAAATTAGCAGTGGTAGCAGTAGTGCTGGTGGACCCAGTCGAGACGTCTTCGTAGCTCCAATTATGCAATTTCAACGGCAAATTTGATTTGTGAACACAAGAAGCAAAGTAGTGGTCTGGTAACGGTGGTCATGGTGGGCTAGAATTGCTTGATGTTCTAACTAATTAAGGGGTTACTTGCAATGTTATGGGGTACCAGACTCTGAGCTGTTAAAGTGAGTCTTACAAGTCTGTGAGACAACGGTTTGCATTTTTTGTTTACAGTTAATGTCAAGGGGCTGGTGAGGGTCAGCCAGTGGTTCTACACTTAACCAACATCTGATGCATGTGCTCGTCGTACTCCCCTCCTGACATCCCCTAACTAACAATACCATCAGCAGTCCCATTAGCAGCCAGATGGGGAACTGAGGGTGGATGGGTGGCTTGGTTCTTTATCGAGTGCAAATATCTATTAGCGACATTTGGCATCCACAAGGGAGAGAAAATAGGCACCAGCTATTTGAGAGAAGCTCTAAGGGGGTTGGGATCATGGATGCTCTCAGGAAAAATCTTTGTATAGATCTGTAGCGTTGAGGCATTTTCACAGTTTACCATTTGGATTTCCGTGGTACACCAAACTGCTGACTTAGGCGGTTGGTTTACTTTCTGTTATACCTTAAGATTCCATATCAGCCACCCCGTTTCATTATGTCGTCATGCTGACCCAGTGGTATGTATGGTTGAGCATGTACGACCGGGCGCACTTCTGAGTCACGTGCGTTTCAAATCGATCCTAAGTTTTCGTTGGTTTCGTGCGACCCTCTGCATTTTCCAAGGCCCAGCTGTTTCAGGTTTCTAATCCTTGAATGTCAATCTATAAAAATAAAATTATTTTTCTCCGACTTCTTTTAGTATGGCCCACTGATAAGCAGGTGGCATTATTGTTTGAATTTGACCAATTCATTTCGCACATTTGGTGCATTCCAATTATTATTTGCGGTTTCGAATCCCACAGCTGTGTTCTCTTATGAAATGTGTTAGACGGCTTGAAGATCAGAAATGTCGACTTGTAACCAAAATCACCTTGTCTCCAAATTAAATGAACTGGACAAATACATAAATCAAAGAACAAAAGAAAAACCCTAAGGGTAGCTTCCCAGTGCTCACTCCGCTTGTTATGTGACCGGAAGTGCTTTTAGATCACTTGGCTGGAAGTGAACATTACATGCAGCGTATTTTACTGCAAGCACGACAAAGCAATCACTTGGTTGCGATTTCGCCGTTTCCACGGAGATGGTCATAAGTCATGGGGATGGTCATAAGCCATAGGATTGTTGTATTTAAGGAGGCCGTGAAAGCTTATCTGGAGCTGAGTTTGTGTTTATTTATCAACCCTTGCTTATATTATTTTTCTTTCTTCTCGCAGGAGTGCTTGTTTCATGCAATGAAAGAGAAGAGGTACCGAACTGTGGGAGCATTAGTGTTTGTTATGGACAGATTCACTTATTGGCAAGGAATGTCTAATAGGACTCTACAACTTGTTGAATATTTGAAGACCAATAGTCCTGACATACCCATTGCACCTCAGTTACTGATAAGAAATGTGAGAATTATGAAAAACGCAGGAAACCTACAAGGTATCTGTAAGTTTATTTTTGGAAAGTTATTGTTGTGAAAATAGGCTACTTGTTGGTAAATTGAAATTCCCTATTTTAAGTTACGGCCAGAAACACCTTACCTGATTTCGAATTAGCTTCCAAAAGGATTTGAGAAGATGTTTGGTAGTAGATCCTGTCTTTGGTAAAGAAAAAAAAGTTAGTAAACAGATAATAACCAAGCACCATTCCAATAAATTAATTGGGTATCAAGTGCAATGAGTAAAGGAAATCTTCGCATTTTCACTTTTCAAGCATCAGCCTCGTATTCGGTCAGTGATTTTCTGTTGCACCAACATTTTGATTTTAAGCGGCGTTTGTCTTGTCAAATAATACCACGCAGTGTTACCATAGGAGTAGCCCAAATATTCCTTGATTCATACGGTAAGGCATTGCGTCCATCTGGCCGGAGTAAATATGGAGTAATACACCCCGAGTAATCAACAGTTTGTCCTTGTCCCTTTAGGTGCAGAGAAAGCTCTTGACGATCTCCTAGATCAGAAGGCACAAATCGGTAAATGGATTTACCAGACGGAACATGATCGTCAACTTGTGAGTGCAGTGTGCTTTCAAATCAAAGGTGATATTCAGTACAACCTGGGGCAATGGACGAGAGGGGCAAAGCATTTGATGGATTCCGTGGTTTTGTTCAGGTATGCCTGGATTCACCCGTCAGAAAAGACTGATTTTAATCGCCATATGGATATCTAGAATCATGTCACGGGGAGCAGAGCGGAAAAAGAATCCTATTGTACCTTGAATATTCCTATCTTTATTTGTATGTAAGCACAGTTCACAGTGATTGCAAATTATCCTTTTGTGTTGAGTAAAAATCCCAAAATTGTCCAAAGTGAAAAAAAAAACTGAAATACCTTCTCGTTACCCAGTCAAATATAATTGGTTTTTGGTCTGTTTGAATGTGTTTTCATCAATAGACTTTAAATTTCTCTGTTTTCTTATTCCTTTCAATTAGCTCACTTCCAATTCCAGATACAAAAGGAATCTCCTCCAGCCTTGCTATTCTCGGTAACTGCCTTCAGCGAATGAGTGTAACTGAGTATCTTCCTGTTTGTCACATGTATGGTCTCACAGCCTCCCATCCATTGCTTCAAGCCTATTACTGCTCTTGCGAAGCTGCTAGAAGATCACAATACACGCCACTGTTTTATGCCAGACATAAGGTAAGTGTATTAAGTACCTTACAGTGCATCCGTTGAGTCAAGCGTTTGGTAGGAGTAATGAAAAGGTTCTTGTATATTCCATAGAAGAGATTATTTTGTGAACTGTTGTGATAGCTTTGAAGTATATTACAGCATTTTCTGATGAATCGAGTTAAATATTAGTCCAAACTTTCAGTGCCCAGGTGCGTCTTTCTACCCTTCGCCTCTTCCTTTTCTTTCTACTCAATGTCCGTGAAAACATTGAAGAGAAAAGTTGTAATCAAATATAATCAAGACCCGTTATTCCCAAATACCGAAGTTATAGCTAAGTTGAGGAAGAAATGAGCCTTGAGGAGGAAAGGGTTGGGACCCTTGGAAACTAGCGCGTGCCCATCATTGCTAAGAGTTGGGAGGCTGGTGGTGTCCGGTGCAAATCTATTTTCAGCTCACTCTTTAATCCGACATCGTTTTCCGTTTGCTCATAAAGAATTCGATTTATTTTTATTCGTGGAAATGTTTACTTTGTTAAAAGTGCATAAGTATCATTACAAATGTATCGTATAAGCTCTAATATTTGTTTAAGTGTTACTATTTCTGTTTGTGTTAATTTCGGCGACGATACACATCCATTTTGGGTGAGTATCGCGTCAAGCCCCTGCTACCACGTGAATTGTTTTCTCTTTGCACATTTAATTCCTTTCAGGAAGAGGTTTGCACAAACAGGTGACTATGGTGAGAGTTATTTTGATAGATACTCTATTTTGTGTCCCATTTAGTGTCAGGCCGGGGAACGTTTGTTGCATTACTCAAAAGTGATTCCATGTGGAGCTACAAGGAAAAACTGTCTGATTGTTTCCATTCAAGATTTCAAAGACAGCATTCAAGCTCACAAAGACCTGCAGTCGTTGAAAAGCCGAGAGGAGTTCTTTGTCTTTGTTTGTGCAGTTTATAAGCTTGGCCTTGCATACGAAGAGTTGTCATCAGAAACTGGTTGCACTGAACAAGGGAAAGAAATATTACGAATGTCGATGTCAATGTATGAACACTACTGCCACTTCAGCGGTATGATCATTTTGGATGACGGTATCGCCACGCTAATTGCTCACTGTCTGGATTTTTTAGGGTTGCCTCAGTGGTGTGTAGATCCTCAAGATGACAGCAAAAAAGCCCTCTCCCTAACTGTTGACGAAAACCAGTGTGGAGACTCGGGTAAGTCAGTTTTTGTGCATTCAAGGGTACTGAATGACTGCTCGATAGGTTCCGTGGAAAGAAGTATCCGAACCGATGATCTCGAAACTCTTTTGGAGGTGCGCCGCGGAGGACTTGTGGTCACGGATAGCTTGACGGCGAAAAATTCCAACAGCGCTCTTGCTAACCCAGGAGCAAGGCCACCAGTGACAAACTGCATTGATTCAACAGTTGATAGGAGTTGTAAAACAAGGGAAAGCAGTTCAACTAGAGATTCCCCAGAACCAGCCACTGATTTATCAGGTTACAGCTTTGAAGTGACTTTCGACACTGTAGATCCCTGTGTTATAATTCAACACCTGGAACAGGAGACGGTGGCAATCAGCAATGATAAGTTTCTAACTCAAACCATAAACAATCCAAGGCATAAAGTTCAAGGTAACTAATCTACAGTTCACTAACCTATCTATGTTACATCTACCATGATACTAGTGTGTTTACCCGACTTAACCACGGGTTGAGATTTTAGCGTATTAAGAAATGGCTTATTGTTCCGGATCAACTTTTCCAAACAAAACTCTCGAGTAATTGGTAGTCCTGAGGGACTTTGGCCGAAGGGAGGCGGAAAAGCTCATAACTGATCGAGAAAATTATCGGAGTGACAATTTTTCTGCACTGGGGGAGTGGGTAGTGTAAATATGCACTAGTAAAATCAATCTCCATCGGTGTACCCAGGGGTAGACTTGACCCTTGTTTAGCGCATCGAGCCAAAGGTTCGCAAATTCAAAAATAATTAAATTTATCCGTATTACAGTGACTCATTTAAACCACCTCTCTCTATATGTAATTCAAGTCGCCTGGTTTTTACCAGTCAGTTTTGTCAACGTACAAATGTATTTTTTGGTCTTACTACTGGTGCTAAATACAATCGAAAGTGACGATTTTCTTTGGAGAGCCTCGAGGCGATTAAAGACCATGTTTCTGGCGCACAGCTGTTTTCAAACGAGGCGCTCATCATTTTTAGAACCAACATGTTTACCTAACACAAGGATCCTTCTTTGTAAAAGCGCCGAATTCGTGTAACTATGTTGATGATACAAGATATACTGATCAAAGCAATGATTTCTAGTTTTTGCGAGAGCATGTATTTGAGTTATTTTCGTTTTCAATCAAACGCGTGGCAAGGTGAGGGTGTGATATTTTTTCTCTCACAAGTCTCACAATGAATAAGGTGCGAGTTTTTTTTATTTATCTTTTGCAAAAAAAAAAGCGGGTCCTGCTTAAAAGTAAGTCTCTCTCATTAAAAACTATCAGAGCTTTACAGCGAATTTTAACAATCTTTGTTAAAAGTAAGGAGCTGTCAACAGCTTCTCCAAATTTTCGTAGAGAGCAGGCGCTGGCGCACAGCTGTTTTCTAATGAGGCTTACTTTCTGAAACCAACAAGTCTACCTTAGAAGAGTATTCTGTTTTACAAAAGCACAGAATTCTTGCAACGATGTTGATGACACAAGATGTACTAATCGAGGAAATTATCTCTAGTTTTTGAGAGAACATCTATTTTGAGTTATTCACGTTTTCAATCAAACGCGCGGCAAGACGAGGGTGTGATATTTTACTCACAAGTCTCACAATGGAGAAGAAGAAGAAGACCATATGCAGGCACTATGCGTATGCCACATAAAGTAAAGGATTATGAAATAGAAATATTACTCGCGTTACTACTCGTTAATTAGTAGTTGCCTTTTTGAGTGAGCTGGAGAGAGTTGTGAGAGATTTCCCTCGAAAGAAAAAGACTGTTTTTTCGAGGTTTTGAGAGTATATTCAATAATGGCCTCTGCGGGGTTGTGCCTCTTCGAGAGGGTCCTCTTTTCAGAATAGTGGTATGATGAATAACGTTGCGGTATAGTAACGTCCAAGGAAAACTGCCGTTTGGATGATGTGAAAGGTCTTTCTAGGTATCTAGGTATCAATATAGAACGATAAGATTTTTGAGATGATAGTAATGTAAGGGTATTTCCTGGAAAAGATAATTTATCGATGGGTACCTTACGGATGTGCGTTAGTGGGTTGAATCCTTCAGCGCAGCGTCCCCTTTATGTTTAAAAGAATGATGATTAAGGATTATAGTAATTTTTCTCTGGTCAAAAGTACTTGTTAACTGAGGGTTTTCTTTTTTTTTTTTTTCTTTTTTTTTTTTTTGTAGCTGCTATTGTTTGGAGATATGACTACCATCGGAGTGAATGGAAAGGGGAAAAGACGTTGGCATATGTTGGAGATTTACTCGAGTTGGAGGAAGGCAAAGAGGGAGCACAGAGAAATGCGTATATGGTTGAATTTGTTGATCAAGAAGATCCTTTGGCAGGGTAAGGTACTTCTTTCAGCATGTCTCGGTGAACTTGCAGTCGAATTTCAAACTGAAAGACACTTTTATTGTTTTTATTGTTGTTATTATCATAATTGTTATTATCAATACCATTTTCTTTAAGTTTATCACGATCTTTTTTATCCCAGTTGGAGGATGGAAATATTTTTCTAGTAACTTTTTTCCTCGAAGTTTGCAGCGACTATTTTTCTCAAGTTGCATCTTGTTACAGAGTCTGTTTGAGCTCAGACAGAGGCTTTGATTTTTTATTAATGAAAAACTGGACCATTGCCAGAAGTTTTGTTGGAAGTTACACACCTATTATTAAGTTAATACTGTGGATAAACTGGCTTCACGAGGGCATCTTAAAGAACGATCACTACTAAAGTTCATTCAAGCAGTGTGAGCTAATCATGAATTTCAAGTTATGATTTTTTCTGCCATTAACTAAACATATTGTCTGAGATTTGGTCGAAGATTTGTATGAGGCTGGATTGATTGGAATGTTATGGTATTGGCAACAACAAGAAAACTACCGGTTAGGGGTGCTTTATTGATTGACCAAATTTATAAGATGCTATTTGACGGAGTAATATTGGTGAGTTGTTTCAACAATATACTGGTAATCTTATTTCAGGTATGTGGCGAAGTGTTATAAGAAGCCCAGAGATATCAAACAGTATCAACAGGATATTATTTGTCAGATGACAGCTCGTCATTACGTCACACTGTTCAACCAACAGCTATATCTTGCAGGTGTGATACAGATACTCAATAATACTCTTGTGCGCAAATTTGAGTTTAATCAAATCTATAATGTATTCTCTTTTATGCGTTTTATACTTTCAACCCTGCGACACATTGCGCGATTTGCACTGCTGTTTAAGGAGGATGTCGCCATTTATGGGCTTACCAGACAAAAATGTTTTTGGTCCCCTATTGGAAATATGTCTATCATTATAACAGTCACATGGTCATAAAATTACTTTTGGGTTCCGATTCGTTGACTTTTTTGGCGATTCATAAGGTTAGCGTAGAGAATAATGGGAATTGGTGTTGTATGCAGTTTCGGCGAAATTAACCGCGGAAATCTATTATTTGTATTACAAGAGACAAAAGCTTTTATTTGGCGTGAAGATATGGTCGATGCTTGAAAATGATGTACCCATCACGTTTAAAGCAAAACCCATTGTGCCCAATGGCTAATTTCAGGTCCATTGTCGAACAGGACATGGCGGATCATGGATCTAATTATCCGCTGTCAAATCACTCAGGCCAGTGGAAGGACCTTAAGATTCTCGGGAAATAGAATTAACTGTTTTTTTCGAGACATGCTGATAGCTTTTGTTATTATAGAGTTTAGATGTTGTTAATAGCTGTTAATAATAACCCGTCAAATGTTTTGACCCTTGTGCGATTGGTTGTAACGTGTCACATGACTGAATATGCCTTGGAAAATTTGGGGAATATCCGGGACAACTACTATATTCCCCAATTTTAATACCTCACTTCCTTTCAGAAGAATGTAACTTCGAAGGACTTAGGTGTTTCGTTCAGCTGGGGTTCATTGCGGCGCAAGACTAAGAAATGGAAGTAATGTACAACGCAGTTTGTCTTTCACAGAATAATTTCTTAGTAAACATAAACGCTGTATGAACATTTGCCGTGGGTATAACTTTTAACTGAGTCGACCGTACATTTACAAAGTAAGCTTATCCTCGTGTTTAGAAACCAAAACCATTAATTAACGTTTATATTCCTATCATTCCTAGCTTTGAATGTGGGCGATATTCAGTTCCTTCCTGTAGTGTTACTTCAACTTGTTGACGTGTATGGCTCCGTCAGTGGTGCCGTATATAACGTGGAACCCTACATGGCAGGGGAATTCGTCAAACTCACCAACAACTTTGGCTTTGTAAGAAGAGAAGACGACATGTCCGACGTAGTGTTGGCATTCAGTCACTTCACATACGAAGAATCAAACCAGCAAATGGTGATCGTCGACATTCAAGGTTGGACTCCAGATACTACTGACAAAGCAAAGTGCACATTTCTCACCGACCCTCAGATTCACTCGGTGCGATACCAGTGTTTTGGAACAGGGAATTTAAGTCAGCGTGGCATTGACAGTTTTTGGAAGGAGATGCATCCGCATTGTAACGACATTTGTATCAAGTTAGGACTATCCAGGCCGAATATCACATCAAAATGAAAAATGATAGAAGTGATGTGAACTGTGAGCTGTTTAAAAGTCTGTATTTGTCATCATCATCTTCAAAAAAGTAACCTTCCCGTCAATCCACTATTACGCCATTTTACTATGGCGATGAAACGCGAAAAAAAATGCATTATTTATAAGCTGTAGAAGAGGCAAAAGTACGGAAAAAAGGCCCATTGCTCGCAATGCTTAACCATCGAAGATGTGTGTGATTAAGTTCTCGTTATGGACTTATTTCTTTAATTACTCGTGAAAGGTTTTGCTTTTTCTCCTTGTCTTAACATTTTACGCTAAACCCTTCACTTGATCGTAATGGAGACAGCTTCATTCTAATGCTTTTTGGTTTATTCAACTTAATAGAAGTAGTATAGAAATGCTTATCCAAAACAAGTAAGACCTATTCGCGCCAATTTCCTGAGCAAATGGCCGTTGACCGCACTCGAATAGGGAAGAATTAGGTTACTCAGTGATATTACAATAGATCGTAATTTCACACGTTATCACGTCAAGATTCGATTTAGCGCCCGGGCCGCTTATTTACTTTGGTACCTCAAGGTAGGGCGCTTATTCGAAACAGGGCGCTTATTCGAAACAGGGCGCTTATTCGAAACAGGGCGCCACACTCTTATTTCTTTTTTAGAAATGGCAGAATGTGCGAAAAGAAGCTTTGATCTTTACTTACTAAAGGAACAATACCAGAAACTTTAAAATTCACAAATGTACAGCGATTATTGGCAAAAATAATGGTAGGGAATGTACTCTTGAAACAGAATAGGGGCGCTCACTGAAGTGAGGGTCCTTATGCAACAGGGGCGCATTTTAAAACAGGGGCGCTTATTGACAAAATCAAATTCGAGGAGGGCGCTTACTAGAGAGGAGGCGCCTAATGAAACGAGGGCACTAAATCGAATCCTCATGGTGGTCCAGTTAAAAATACTGAAAACGAGTGATTGTTTAGTTGTAAGACTTAGTCAAAGTACTGTTATTCAGTTACTGTAAAGTGGGATCGTATGATCTCAAGTAAAATTGCGGAAAACTAATAACTCCTAAAGTTATCTTAAACTGTAGACGTGGCGGGAAATCTTATTTGCATTTCTAAACCGAACTTCGAGTATTTTCTTCAGTTGTACCTTGCAATAAGACAATTAAGACACGTGATCACATACTTTACAAGTTATTTTTAGTTATTCGAACGCTTGGGTAACATTTAGTATTCGCTTAGCTTATGAAATGATCTCAGAACTGTTTGTATAAAAATAGTGCCTTGAAACTGTTATTTCGATTTACATGGGATTTACGTTGAAGACGCAATAAACGCAAGTGAAAGTGGAGTTCTAAGTCTCTTTTGGGTTGGAAATCCGCCAAGCGGATGTTCAGAGATAGTCTCCCCCAATTTGGTCAGTTTAGGCGAGAAGTATGATATATTCCGTTTCCCTTCCATCCCTGTACACCCCAAACCTTTCTTCTCAATAGCAGATTGAAGGCAAAATTGCAGCGAACGCATCGCATTCGTTTCTTAACCTCCCTTTACTAGGTACTAGCTATAAGCTATCTGGCAGGCTAATCCTTTTCCTAATTCCTTTTGCTTTGAAATCGAATTTTGCCTCCAAATACTTGACCACATGTTCGTCTAGAATGGTTATTCAACGTTTCGGTTGAGTTGTCAATTCTCACGCGCCTTTTTGCTCAGATACAACACATGCCACTTTAACAGGTAGGTTCAGATGGTGGCTGATCGCTAATTCGAGTGCAAAACCTCCTTGGAATCGGCTCATTTATTGAAAATAGAGGAAATTCAATGCCACACTTTTGTTGACAAATGACATGCAAAACCGGAGGACACCTACGCGAAATGCCGTGAATGTTTAGTGTAAATAGCCCTTATGAAAAACGCACTTTTAATTAATGAAAGGCGATCAATTATGGAAAGGCCGAAGGAGTGTGAAGTAAGTAGATCCTCTACAAATGAAGCAATGATTAAGGAAATGCCTATCATGTAGAGTGTAGAAATCTGCAACCCTTTTCTCGTCTGAAAAAAGGATGAGTTTACCAAAAAACAAAAGAATTAATCTCTCTCATCCTACCAAGTAAAGTCGAACTTCCCAATGCAAAAAAAATCTCGAAAGCGAACATACCGAAATATTTCAACCTTAACGTGAGTGTCTCCCTCCATAAACGGCAATCTGGGTAGAGAGCATGAGAGGGGTTTTACGTCCAGTGCCTTGAACACAACAAGGTGGGCGAAGTCTAGTATCCACCTTGCCAAACGCATGATAATGCAAGGTTGTTTAAAAATGATGCATGCGAAAGTTATAGCCAGCAGCTGTTCAATACTGGTAAAACTGGGTAATCTCACTTTAAATTAGTTAATACTCTGTACGTGTAAATAAACTTTCGCTTTCGAAATAACTTAAATTTTCTACAAAATTATCCGAGATTTAGGGTCCACGTTAAATTCGCGGTTCTACTCTTTGAGTATTAGCTAAACTGAGATAATACGGAGAAAAACAGCTACTCCTACAGCTACACAGCTAAACAGCTACACAAGCCTGCGCATATGTGGCCTGTCCAATCCTTCGATTTTAACGCCTCTCTCAGTGTAAAGCATGATCAGATTATTCGTCATCTTCAGCCCACGCCTCCTCAGCCAGTGCAAAGTACTTATTCGCTAGTTTTCCCTTCATGGCAGCAAGTGCTAAATCTCCAGCTGCCGAATAGAGTTCGCCGGCCATCTGAGGGTGCTTTTCAAGCCCGTGACCTCCGTGTTGGTACAAGTACGCTTGCTTGGCATACAGCACGTAGTTAGGGTCTGTGAATAGCGTGTTCTGTGGATCATCGTTTTCGTACACCACGTCAATGGCATTTTGATACCACTTGGCTGCCTCCACCCACGTGCATTCCCTAAACATAGAGTGATTCAATTTAAACACCTTGTTTATGACCTTTAATATTGAAGAAGGGTGTCAACATGGCTAGCAATATGTTTCTGATTCCAACAGCTCGCTTCTTATTATATATAGGTCCTGACAAAACAGTGTCAAAAATATTTTCCTCAAGGCCAAAGATTGTATCTTGGATTGCTGAATATTTATTCAAATACTAAATTTTGATTAAAAATTTATCCACCGATAAACAGTACACCTATGATGAGACTTGAGAGGCAAAAATGTACCTGAACGAGCCTAGGCCTGAGCCAGTTTCATAAGCCTTAGCCATGTACACCATGGCTTGCCTGTCTCCCAAATGAGCTGCCTCCAACATGTAATACACCCCCCGGTTCATGGCATCTTCAGATTCCTGTAAGAGAACAAAGAATACAAAGAAGTAAAACAGTATTTTAAACAGTAGCACAGGGTGTTTGCTATGAATTTCAAGTTACTGTAATGATACTTCCGACTGATAAACTACAGCTTTTCCAATAAATATCCAATTCAACACATCGAAGCTACCTGGACAGTCACTGAAGGCAATATGTCGTGTGGCAGCTGTAAATTGATTTCAGCCATTGCAATTAAAGCCGGTAAAACAGCACAAGCTGCAGCTTGCTCTAGATGAAACATGGCACATTCCATTTGGGGCTCATTGTTAGTGAAACGACCGATCTCGTTACATTTAGCCAATTCGAGATGAACCTATAGAAAAAAAAAAGAAAACATAATGAAAGACTTGCCACTGAAACACACAGTTTGGGAATTCACTTGTTGGATACCGTATTGTACACTAACCACTCAGCCAAGCTGCTACGTTCAGTTTCGTCTTAGCAACAAGTCATTTGACCAGGAGAATGGAATGAAGGATGCAGGGGCTCAGCCACATCGTAGACTGCTATCTGGATTTTTGTCACTCATGTTTTAATCCTTTATTAACACTTTTCACCTTTATCAAAACTGGTCACCTCCAATTCATCTATAGATCACAGATGAAGTCAAACTGTGGTAAGAACAGTCGGCTGCAACTCGCAGCCACTTTTTGCCCTTATCACATTTTGATGTCGTATGTGACCTATGTCAACAATAGCCTCCATTTAGTGCGAAAATATGCACGGACATTATCTGTTCCGAGAAATGAACAGTTTTCCGAGAGGAAAGCTCAAGGAAAACTGTAAGCTACGAGGAAAATGATGTAAAAGGACCAATACAAGAAACATATTCTCGCGCCAAATGGAGACTACTGTGGTTACTTTCCTTCAAATATTTTTGCAACACGCGGGAAAATGTCAACGAACAGCTTATAGTTTGCTGCGTGGAATATTTACTTTTCATTGTTCCCTTGTACGATTTTGTGAACGAACAAATATCTTCCTTCTTCTGAAACAATAGCTCTACGCTGTCTCCTCTTAAATAAAACTTTAAACAAAGACTTTAGTCGTAGTGGACGCACGGTTTGAAAATTGGCCAATATCCCTCTGGGAATATTACTTGGAGCATATCCTCGGATATTTCCAAGTTTTAGCTGGGGAATATTCGATTAGATATTCTGCCAGTTCAGTTCCTGATTAAATATGTGAGGTGAAAGTTTGGTTATTTACTTGTAATAGTAATTTGTCAAGTTTTGTTCACTTTGGATGTACGTTCCTAACAAATATACTTTGACGAAATTTAATCGATGACAGATACAGAAATCAACCAAAATTATTTATCTCAAACTTTGATCTTGTCTGACGGACCGCATTAGATTTGTCTTTCTCTCCCGAAACCCCACGTATGGGATTCAGGCGCACAAACAGAGTTAAAAAGAATGATCAAAGCCCAGACTAGGATGTATAGGCATTGAAACGATGGTAGGTGGGCTGTCACTGTGGCTGATAACAAACTGATAAAGTACAGCAAAAAAACATAAGTACGACGTCAATACTGACCTGTCCGAGAACAGAGTCACCCTTGTGTGACCTTCTCTGATGCTTCAGACGAACATCATCAAGCAGTTTAACCTCGGCAAATACACTTGATGCCTTATGTTCCAGACTATCAGCAAATGATTTGCGGAAATTCTCATCCTGCAAGCAAGTTTGAAATGTTGTACAAAAAAAGAACAAAGAACTGAGAGTTACTTCCTAATTCCACCCAATAAATACTGCCATAATTTTTATTGACTGATAATTTGAAACCAGAGAATGGACACCGGAATAATACAAACTCTCCTTCGCAAATGAAGAGCAAGGAGCAAAAAGAGAAATGTTGAAAAATTTCGCCAGATTTTGTTAACAGTAAGAAAGGTAAAAACATACGAGTATATGTATATGTAGTTACCTCGTTCTCAGTGAACACATCACTTTGATCACTTTCAGTCTCAGATGATGACGATTCTGGGTCAGATATCTGTCGAGAATATCTTGATAATTCATTACATGATGACAGTGAACACCTGGGGGAATCTGGCTCCGAACCAGCAGGAGACAGAGGAGGAGACTGGGCTAGATATTCCGTCATGTCAAATATGGCTGAGGAAATTTTGCGGTGACCAGGAGATGTGCAATCGTCAATACTTTTAACAATTGTGCTGGAGTCTTGGATGTTTTCCAGGGTTTTGTCAATCCGAACCAATTCTTTTTTACTGAGGTCAAACTGGGAAAGTCCAAGGCTATGACAAATTCTATGAAAATGTGAACAGAAATTAAGTTACTGCCATATAGAATGCCTGGAGTGTCTACACAGTTGTGCAGAGCTTGGGGTGTAATAAGAAATAAGAAATTGAAAATGTGCAGCAGCTACCTAGAGCACGCACACAACACTGGCACAACAACGCCCGCTTTAATCGTCACTACGACACACAGTGGGTCCAATAGGTGTCTCCACCCCAACAACATGAACGTTAAAACAGAGATAGCGGGAGAGTAGCCTCCGAATCTTGAATGCTTCATAAGATGACGTATGACCAGTTTACCTAATCACCTTTCACCTTTCAGCATGCAATACAAGTGACTAAAGCACAGTAGCAGTTAAGTACAGACTTGAGCTTACTTGTTACATCTATGAGAACTGAAGAACAGTGCCATCCCCCTTGGGCCCAAGTTGGCTTCGCCGTAATCCTCTCCATCTGATGTATGAATCTGAGGGTCCGTGTACAGATCGCCAACTCCTAAAGTGATAGCGGTAGGCAAAAAATTTAAAAATGATAGAACGAACAACCACGTTTTTAAAGATACACTGTATGATTACTACAACGTGATAAGTAAAACGTCATAAAGGACGCGAAAGCTTGCACAGGATAAAAAAAAACCCTTGCTGTTTAAACTTAAAATTAACACAAGCGGAAATTGAGACAGAAAAAAAAAACCTTCGCTGTTTTCCACTATCACCTCTCCTTCTCCGCTGGTTACACTTGCTAGCCAGTAACCATCACATGAATTTTTTATACATGTTAAGTTTTTTTTTCTTTTTTTTTTCGCTATGTGAGAGAAGAATGAAAGAGAAGAAAGAGAAAGAGAAGAATGAAAGGGAAGAAAGAGAAAGAGAAGAGAAAGAGAAGAATGAAAGAGATGAAAGACAAAGAGAAGAAAAAGAGAAGAAAGAGAAGAAAGAGAAAGACAAGAGTCGAGATTACTGTGTGTAGGATGAAAAGAGATCGAAACAGGACTTCGATGATGACAGTCAATGTTTTTTGGTCAATCGATGAGAATCGATTATCGAACGGATGTAATTGACAATCGATGACAATTGATACTCGTTAAAACTGCGTGATTGATTGCCTATCAATCACCAATATCAATCAATTAGCTGACATCTACTACCATCGGTCGCTTCAATTGTTCAGATCCTGGCTACAAACATGAATCTCACCTTGAATGTCAACTACAATCAGTTGATGGCCAGACCTCTCAAATGTAAAATGGCTAAATGCCTGTGAATTGAAAACTTTATGTCAGTTGTATCGCTTAGGAACCTTAGAACCTAAGTTAGGAACCTTCTGTATGACAACATTCCTCAGAAGAAAAACTTGAATGAATTTTTGTCTACTAAACACAGTTCGATCGTCCATGCTGGAAAGTGCAATTGTAAAAGTATATTACATCCATTTTGAAATCACTGATGATTTATGAATCGCAACTTTTTTTGCTCTCAAAGTCGCATCTTTTTCCCCAGCAAATGAGAGGCTAGACCAAAACACAACAACCAATCAAATTTCAAGGCTTATTTAACGTAGCAAATCAAATTAAAGGAATATGAAACACAAATCACTACCACTACAATTACAAACCACTACAGCACTTGATCAATAAAATATCTGCACAGACTAAAAAATCATGTATTTGAGCGACTGAGTTTTGCAATTTCCGAATGGACGTATTACTGTGGTAATTAAAATTTCATGTCGTGCAATTTTGGTCTGAAATCATAATATTGATTTCAAATGAAACTTGCGCAAACAAACGTATAATTTCACACCACATTGCACTCCACTAAGTTCAATTACCATTATAGATAAAATTATCATATATATCTATATATATTGTATGGAAGAATATCAATATTGGCATATAAAAGTACCATTTGGTTTGGCTGAGATGAAATGGCAGACCAGAAAAAGGTTCCATTAGCCTTAATTACTCGGATCGAAACATTTTGAACAGCCCAAACATGACACCACGATAGTCATGTCTCATAAACATCATGTGAGTTTGAGGGGAAGACAAATTGCACATCTATGCAGAATTCTTGACTAGTTTTATGACTGTTTACTCTCCAAGTGCAAACTATCCATCCATCCATCATCCATTATTCCTTCCTTCACACCTTCCTTTCCTGAACCTACCCGTCTCTCCCTTCCCTTTCTTTTAAGTTCTTCCCATCATTTCTTCCTTCCTTCCTTCATTCCCTCCCAAGTTTTGGTTCTTGTTCATCAACAGAAGTTTATTGATATTTACTGAATGGGCAACTGGGACATCTTAGGCCTGTGCTCACCTGGGGAGTGCAACGGAGAGTTTCATCTTGCAGCACGTAACCTGAGTTTGAGTTGTACTTTATATACTTTCCTTCAATAAAGTGCTCTAAGTGAAACAAAGGTGATCCTTCTCTGTTTTTCAGTTCAATTACACAAACCTGGAAAATATCTACCTGTTTGTAAAACAATAAAATTAGTGTTCTAGATTGATAAAAGAAGCAACAGTTTAAGGTAACTATTATTGGGCAAAGAAGGAAAAAGGACAGTGCATTAACTGGCTGGTCCTTCAGTTGTAATTGTTGGGGTAAAATGGATTGAAACAGGGTGTTGATGATATAGAATACGTAAGATTGCAAATTTTAAGCTTAGTTGTAGAATAATGAAATATGTTATTTGTTTTGCCATGGGCATGACACAAAAACAGAACTGAGTCCTCCTGAGTAATCAAACCTTGGACCTAAATAGGCACTATTGAAGTGTTAATTCGAGCTTCCTTGGGGATTTGTTGTGTAATGAGTAGGCAATTTTACATGCGAGGTCTAAATAACTAGTGTGCCTAGCTGGCAGTTTTGTTGGGGGGTGCCTGCTGCAAGGGGAATGAAAAACAAACAAACAAACAACATCTGCAACACAGGTTATACATATGCAACACCATGTGCAGTTCAGACCAATATTTACAACCGCTTGTACAAATATAGGCACCCACTGTGGTACATGAGTCTACGGTGCTCTGAGTTTACACTGGGTCTCAAATGTCCTCTTACAAGGTTCATTTCTCGATAAGTGGACTTTCTTAAGTGCCGCTCTTAGTTAAAAAGGTCCCCTTAAATACAAAGTTAACTAATGGAGCGTTCATTTAGCAGAGCTAAAGGCAATGTAGCTGGAAGCAATAAGGGTGATGTGACTTATGAAAGCATTGGTGCAGCCATGACTTGTTACCAATTCGTCAAAAAACTGCTACCCTAACAAGGCACAGCACCAAGTAAATAGGTCATTGAATGCTGTGATAAAGGATAAAGGTAACAATTGTGCAATTAAAATCAAAATTACCACTTCCTTGATGAAATTGAGGTTGAATCCTAAAAAATTGCCCGCATACAAACAAAGCGAAGAAACATGAAAGTTAAAGTGGCTGTGAGCCACTGAACTCGGAAAATGAATTATGAAGGGGTTTTGAAACTATTGATCCACTCAGGGAAAGGACATCATCTCTCTCAAATTACATTTGCTTACATGGCGCAATGATTTGTGCTTCTTCCTGCAAGCGGAAGGTCAAGAGATCTACCCCAGGCAAGAGCAAGTTCTAGTTTTCCTTTCCTTTCATTTCCCTATTTTTTAACTTATTCTTCAAAAGCATATGTTTCTTATCTTTTTATCCAGAACGTCACCTATCTCTGAGCAGAAATACACATTCGAGAAGCCAGTTATCAAAGCATAGAGTCTGTCTTTCATTTTGTGTATTTGAAAAAAGGGGAGGTTTCAATCATTCCAGAATACAGTTCATTGATATAGCGTTTTTTTTGCAATTGAATGTTCAAATTGCAGATCAACAAGGTTTAAAAACAAGGCTTAAAACACTGAAATATAGGACTGTTTGTTGCCCTTGAAAGTAGATTTATCTGAGTGCCTCATAAGCTTTATTACTGAGCTACAGAGAAGTTGAATAGTGAGCTGAGCCATTACAAGGTTTATATACTGTGTTACAAGCATACTACTCATTGGAAGTACAAGGAGACTATAACATAATCTGTAAACACCTCACTAACCAACAACGTTTTGAGTCCCAAGAAATTAAAGCTTTCCCATGTCATTTCAAGGTTAATCATCCACCCATCCCATATCCAGAAATGACTTAACATTCCATGTTGGGTGATAGTTATAGGGGATGATTTTAAATGAATGCCAAGAAAATTCATTATGCAAACGAGAAGCTTTAGCTCACAGTAAATTCAGTTTCCACATGACAGTGTCCCATTCACTGATACAGTATTCGACAGTGAGTTTGTGGTCCAAACAATAAACAAAAGGTAAAAAATCAAAATTGAAAGTGTAATTCTAACTATTCATCAAACCTTTTTTGGTGGGTTGTGTCTGTTAAACTCTTCACCCCAAAGCTTGGCATCCATTTGCAGTCTAACATCATCAAAATACACTTTTCTGCTCACTTCATCAATATACCTTTTACAAACATAATTAGCTGCATGCTTCCAATTCATGTGCTTTGAGAAATTGGAGAGCTTCTTCCTGTTAGAGGAGGAAATAGTTAAAACATAATAGGATTTCAAAATATTTCAGTTAATTGACTGATTACATACTCTTTATAGAAGTGGACAGAAATGAAACTAATCTTAATTTTTAAAACACATAAAAATACTGCAAGGCAGTAAAATAGACAAAATTATGTATTAGGGTTATACTTTGTAAAATGGGAAGAAGTGTAAAATATTAAACATCCAAAAACATTTTTGTACTCCATCACATAATACAATGTACTTCTATGCAGGAAAACAGTTGTAGATTAGGCATGAACTGTTCCCCTTTCAAACCAATTTAAAGCTGCCCTAATTTAGCCAATTTGAAACAGATTTATTCAGTTTTAAGTCTTTGGCCCTTCTTTTTTTCTACCAATAAAGCCACTGCAAAGCTATTTGCGGTTTTCGTGGTCCTAACAAAATTGTTCTGGTAAATAGTAAAGAAAAAGAAGACATTTGTGGTCAATTCTATATGTGGCATTTTGCTGGTGTGTTTTTAGAAAAATTGTTCTCTTGCAGTTATGCATGTATATTTAGTATCTAGCATTTTATCACAAATGCCGCAATCTACTATTTGTCATCTGTTCTATGATAGTGAGTTAAGGGAGTAACCAAACATTGCGTGGTGGTAAAAAAAATAGAATAAAACACGAGCCTGTCTCTTCGTTAAATTTTGAACTTCTTTTTCTTATATTTATGTCATTCAGCAATTTTGGTGACATCCTATTGGGAAAAATACCAGATATCATTTGATTTTTTTGCAGGAGTTCTAACTGCAGCCAAATTTCCAATGAACAGATATCTTAAAAATCATGCTTATCTTCTATTAGAAGAGTATGTCTGTGATACCTTTTAAACATAAAGATTAGAAATCAGTCTGCAATGCAAAGTTTTATTGACAATTATCAAACTGACAATTATCAAACAGTACTTACAATCTAAAGCACTCCCTCATGGCTCCTTGATCAAATGGCTACAGGAAGAGAGTAAATACATCACTTCAAAAAGAACATGTCAGCTTAAAAATCAAGAGGTTATTCCGTGTCAAATATTCTGGGGGTTCAAAGGTCTCAGTGTTCAATATGTCTGTTGCCTGGTAATTCAGGTATGATTCACTTCTCTTACTTAATGTAATTAGTTGAAACAATCAGCAGAATATTTAATTGCAACTTCCAAAGTGATATATTTTTTGCATCATAGTTCAATTACTCTTGAGCAGTTGAGTTGTTGTTTGAGTCTACAAGTGCTTTGAGTCATAGTTTTGTTGGGTTTCAATGGACTACTCAGTGTTAGAGTTACAACTAAATGTACAATGCAAGCTACCCATTTCTTGCCCATTAGCTGTAAATATAACAATTTTGAGATAACTGAGAACAACATACCATAAACAATAATTCATTTAAATTCAACAAGACTCACCAATAATTCCATTTTGACTCTCACTTCATCCTGTAGCCAGTTTTTTTTCAGTGCATTGTATCGATGTCTCATGGCAACTTCTGTAGGGCACGAGTCATCAATATGAAATTTTTCCCAAGGATCGGGTAAACTTTTAACCTTTTTAAGAGCAATCTTCCAGCTTAAATGGTGCTGCTGTTTGTGATGAGAAGCAGTTTGACCTTGAAGATCATCAGCACTGGCCTCTTTACTGTTTAGACGAATTTCTCTGTTAGGGAGCATTTCATCATCCTTCAGTAATCCAACTTCACCATTCCAATCATCTGTTGTTTCTTGTTCTACATTTCCACATCTTCCAGACTCAGGGTCAGTTGTTCTTCCATTATCATTGGTTACACTTTCCAGGCTCTCCATAGCAGACTACCCTCCTTCACTTTACTTAACCATCTTTGAAGAAATCACCATGCTTGACTTCTGGCACTATCAGCATTATATTTTCTGAGAAATTTGCAAAACAGAAAGTGCTTGGATTGATCTTGTTCTTAAATTTCATGAAGTCAGTAATTCATTGTGTTAGATACTGAGAAACCTTCAGATGGTTTCAAATGGGTTCGATTTGGCTGGATAAACTTACACACACAACAACTGCAATTCAACATGGCAAACCCCAACAAGAACTCCAGCACCTCACTTTAATGCACACACATTAAAACACTGATAATACATGACATTTCCTCCCCCTTTAAAATATGTGTCACAAATGCTTCAAGCTACACCAAAAATACATGGTAACAACAAACTTAACCTTTCTACTATCAACAAAACATCTACTGAGAGTAGAAAGTGTTCTTAGCCTTAAAATGTTCTTAAAGTCCCAAGTTAAGCCTCGGGGGCTTCTCTCTCTCTGGCTGGGTATCTGCGCTCAGCTCTTATGGGCATGTTCCTTGGACTGGTCTCACTTGGGTGCTGCACCAGAGATGGTAGTTCAAGCTCTGGAACTGCAACAGGAATCTGCTCTGGAGACATAGAAACTGGCTATTGAGCTGCTAGAGAGTCTCGAGTTGAGGACTGAAGAATTGGTTCAGTTGTAGGTTTCTGAGTCTCAGTGGGTTGGTCTTGAGTTGTCATTGAAACACCAACACTTGGTGGTGGTGGTGTACTTGAGCCTGACACTGTTGGTGGTGTACTCAATCCTGACAATGGAACTGATGACTCCTCAGGAACCACTTCCTCAAAAGCCTCTCCACAATTTACACGCTCTGTCTGTAGGAGGTGATTAATGTGGACATAACATAGTTGGTGACCAACTCTCACCAGGTAGGTCAATGGTCCCAACCTTCTTATCACTGTGCCTGGAACCCACATCTCCATTCCTCCCTGGGTATTTTGCACATTCACCAAGTCACATGGTGACAGTTTACGCAATTTATCATGACTCTTATCATGCTGCCACTGCTGTATGCCTTGTTGGTTCTGGATGTGCTCTTCCATGTTTGGAAGGAGAATACTGAACTTGGTGAAAGGTTTTCATTTCAAGAACAGTTCTGATAGTGTTACTCCTGTCACTGAATGAGGAGTGTTTCGATACTGGTTGGCTAGTTGGTGTTTCAGTGAACATTTCTTGCTGCCTCCTCTCACACTTTCAGCATGTTTGCGTAATGCTCTCTTCAAGATCTGGACTGTGTGCTCTGCTGCCCCATTGGACAATGGATGGTATGGAGGTACCAGTGTTTGTTTAACTCCATTCTGTTTAAGGAAATCTGTGAATTCCTGGGAAATGAATTGGGGCCCGTTGTCTGAGATCACTTCTTCTGGCAATTAATATGCAGCAAACCATAGTTTCATTTGATCAATAGTGCTTTGAGCAGTTGTGGATCTCATGTGTGCCACCTCTATCCACTTGGAATGGCTGTCAATCAACCCAAGGAAGTAATTGCTATATTTCTCTGCAAAATCAACATGCACTCCTTGCCACACCTGAGTAGGACATCTTCATGGGTACAATGGTGCACTAGGGAGTGCATTCCACACTGCTTGACAAACTTCACAGATTCTCCCACTCAACTCAATTTCAGCATTCAAATTTGGCAACAAAATGTAACTTCGCGCTATTGCTTTCATTGCAACAATACCTGGATGTTCTTTGTGTAATTCTTGCAACAGTCTGTTTCTAAGCGATGGCAGAATGATAACATGCATTCCCCATAAGACACATCCTTGGTCAACTAATAGCTCATGTCTTCGTGTGAAGTATTGTTTCATTTCTTCACTGGTTACATAATTTGGCCACCCAGTTAGCATATAATTTAATACTCTTGCTAGTTCAGGATCTCTTCTGGTCTCCTTTATTAATGTCCTTTGCATCAATGGGCAATTCTTCAAGACCAGAGAAGAAAAAGATTTCAGCCTCTTCCTTCAATCGCAAGTCATTGCAAGGGAGGCATGATAATGCATCAGCATTACCATGTTCTTTAGATGGTCAATACTCCACTTGGTAGTTGTAGGCCTGTAAAATTACTGCCCAACATTACATTCTGGCTGCTGCTAGGGTTGGTCTTCTGTTTTTGGACCCAGAATGGTCACTAAAGGCTTGTGGTCTGTATACAGATGAAACAGACATCCATACAGGTACTTGTAGAATTTTCATACTCCAAAAATAATAGGTAGAGCTTCCTTCTCTATTTGTGAATAGTCACTTTCCCTATTTGTAAGTGTTCTTGATGCAAATACAATGGGATGTTCTTCTCCATCATCCATTGCGTGTGAAATCACCACTCCTACACCATACGGAGAAACATCACATGCTAGAATCAGCTTCCTTTTCTCATCATATGGAACCATAAGCTCAGATTTACTTTGCTGGAAAGCTTCTTCACACTCTTTGGACCACTCCCATTTCAAGCCTTTCTGAAGCAATTCATGTAACTGCTGAAGGAGGGTGGAAAGATTAGGAATGAAGTGTCCATAGTAGTTCAGCAGCCCTAAGTAAGAGTGAAATTCTGCTACGTTCTTTGGACTTGGCGCTTTGCTAATAGCTGCAATCTTCTCATCTGTGGGATGTCGGCCTTCCCTGTCTACATGGTAACCTAGGAACTCTATACTTGGTACCATGAACTCACACTTAGACTTCTTAGCTAATATGCCATGCCTCTCCAGCTGGGTCAACACCTCATCTAATACTTGCAAGTGTTCATGGGGATCAGTTCTGATTATGATGTCATCAATACAACAACACACATTGTCCATTCCCTGTAATATCTGATCCACAGTTGACTGGAAGAGTGCAGGGGCAGAGGCGATACCATAGGTTAGATGTTGATAGGCATATAATCCTTTGTGAGCGTTCACAGTTTGGTATTGTTGGCTTTTCATGTTCAGTTCCATTTGCTGATAGGTGTTTGACAAATCAATCTTGCTGAACACAGTTCCACTTCCTAATGTGGCAAACATATCTTTCATGTCCAGCAGAGGGTAAGGGTTGTCTGGAAGGACCTGGTTCACCAACACCTTGAAATCACCACAGATGCGTAGACTTCCATCTTTCTTGGGTACACAGACAATGGGAGAAGCCCAGTCACTCTGTTCCACCTTCTTTATGACTCCTAACTTCTCCAAATTGTCTAATTCTTCTTCCACCTTTTTGCATAGTGCGTAGGGAACTGGACCAGCTTTGCAGAATATCGGTTTGCACCATCTTGCAACTTTATATCTACCTTAAAATCTTTGATGGTTCCCAGTCCCTTGTTGAATACCATTTTGTGCCGACTTAGAACATCAGACAGTGTCAGCCTTGCTCACATGACAGGTATTGTGCCAATTTAACTTCAGTTGCTCCAACCAGTTTCTGCCTAGCAGTGGAGGGCCCTCTCCATCCACAACAATCAAAGGAAGCACCAGTTCCTGTTGTTCATAGACCACAGGCAAATGAACCTCACCATAGACAGGAATTTGGACACCATTGTAAGCCTTCAACTTCATCTTGATACCATGTAAGGGCCATTGGTTAAACTGCTGATCATACAGGACCTTAGGTAAGATAGACACTGTGGCTCCGGTATCCAATTGCACTTTACAACTCTTATGATCCAACATCACTGACATGAAAATCGGGATGTGTTCATCTCTTCCAGAATCTTTCACTGCAAAAATGCCCAGAACTTCGTCATCCTCTGTTTCCTCCTTGACCACTTCCAGGTATTTTGTTTTTCCAGGCCCTCTCTTTCTACCAATTGACTTGTTTGCAGTTGTTGAATCATTGCTGGGTTTTGTCTGGCATACACTTGCATAATGACCCACTTTCTTACACTTCATGCATACACTTAAACGGGCTGGGCAAATTTTATCCTTGCTAAAATGTCCCTCTTGACCACACCAGTAGCATCAGCCTAGCCTTTTCTTCCCTTTTTGCTGTTTAGGGGGCCTTGAATCAGGGAATGAGACAACTTCATTCACTCCCAAGGATTCCTGTGTTGAAGATACAGAATCCTGTGCTCCCATTTTCTTAGCCTGAAGGTCAACTGCTTCCATCGACCGAGCTACCTCTTGCACTTTCTGAATAGTAAGATGTTCCTTTGCCAACAATTTTTTTCTTAATTCTGATGATCAACATTTATCAATAACTTGATCCCTGATGTCAAAATCTGAATTTACATAACTACACTTTTGTGCTTGCTTCCTAAGCCTCGCTATGCTAGGCTGACTGTCTCTCTCCTGTTGAGCCATGCTCCTGAATACATGTCGCTCATACGGTTCCCTAAGCTTGGCGACAAAATACGCATTCAGAGTATGTACCACTTTCTAAAAATTGGTAGCCGAACCCTCTTCAAATTCTTTCATCAGGCCCGGATCATTGAGCATTTCGTGCAACTCCTGAACCTCTATTCCTGTGTTGTGAAGTAACAAAGTCTTCTTGGGCATTGTTCACCACTCCTTTGGCGACAAGAAAGTATTGAAATGATTGAAGCCATTTCTTCCAACGTAGTCCCAATGCAGATGAATTATCTTTGCAATCAAAAGGAGCTACACCTTGAATTTCGATATTAACTGCCGCCATTCTTCGTTAGTTAGTCCATCCCATCCTTGTCACCAGTGTTAGATGCTGAGAAACCCTCCGATGGTTTCAAAATGGGTTCAATTTGGCTGGATAAACTTTCACACACAACAACTGCAATGCAATATGGCAAACCCCAACAAGAACTCCCTCACCTCACTTTAATGCGCATGCATTAAACCACTGACAATACATGACTCATTGGGTTGGTGAATTGTATGTTTAACAGTAACTGATTAACATGGTAATGCTGATGATGACAGTTTCAAGGAAATAATCTATAACTGCTGCTAAATATTTAGGGTTAATATTACAGGTATAAATAAAACCCCGGGACAACATTAATTCCCAAAAACCCCTTACTTATTAAAATCCCAGAAAAAATTAAATGTCCATCTCAGAAGGTTTGAGTAGAGTATTTAATTTGAGCATTTTAGATTGTGAGCATAAAAAATATCATCTTACAGTCAAAACCTATGTTAAGGTAATTCCTCAGTATTTCTCTGTATATCCTGTAGTGCACATAAAAATCACTGACAGGTAATCAAGCAAATAAGCACACACGCACTCCGACTTCTTCATGCACTTCTTCAAAGGGAATAAAAGATAGAGCTAAAAGCATGCATGAAGCCCATTACTAGAGGATCCAAATTATGATCTTGAAAGGAACAACTTGAGAAATGTTTTGAGTCAATGTTAAAATTTAAATTAAATTTGCATGATTTTCCCACAAATTGTATATCAAATTGTTCAATACCCACAAGACTTTCCACCTCTCATTTTTTTTTCAAGTGTTACTCTAAAGACCCTTACTTCCAGCTACAGCAAAATGTACCATGAACCAGTGAAATGACACACGTGATTATGCCAGGTACTAGGCATAAATAGGGTAAGTTTGGCCCATAATATCTCCTAAAGAAGCATGGTGACCCATCTTTTTTATTGTATTTTTCAGAACAGACATTGTAAGGAACATTTAAGGAGAGTTCAATTGTCCAATTGTTTTTTTCCTAAAGAATCACCTGCAGCGACACCGTATTAAGCAGTCACCCTGCATCAAGCAGTCACCATGTATCAAGCAGTCACCCTGTATCAAGCAGTCACCCTGTGTCAAGCAGCTGGCGGTGAAAGTCCCAAATATGTTTCCCTTTAATCACTGTCAGTTTCACCTTTATAAAGTGGTCACGGGTGACCACTCAATACAGGCTAAACTGTGCTGATGATTGCCTATCCATCATGATGTTAAAAATTCGAAGTAAGCTCAACCCAGGCTATATCTTGTCAACAAGCCCAAAAGATTACCTTATAGCTCTCCATGGCTACGTATACCATGGTTTAACATTATTTGCTCTTTTTCTTATTGGTCCAACTCAGTATGGGGTCCTGGACTTTTCTCTGGGCCTGGCAATATCGTTATGAAGGTTTGCTATCTTCAAAAAAGTTCCATGAAACGTAGAAGGCTCAAAAGGTACATGTTCAGTTATTCACTCGTAGTTCAGACGAACAGTTACCGACGGAGCAAGTTCGGCTGACGGTTCAAAATCGCGAGGACAAGAGTATGAAGGACTCGTCAAAATTGATCAACAAAAGAAGGAAAACGGTGGTTCGAACCAATTAAATTAAAAGCTTGAATTATTTGCTTTTTTTACACACAACAAAACAATATTTCGAAAGGAATCACCAAAATTTACACGTTTCGGCAAGATTTCTGCATGACCACACACTTCATTATGCATACTGCTTAAATGCATGGATAAAAGAAAACAATGGCAAAAAAATTGGTAGTCTTTAGGACTGGTAAGGCTTCGCTTTAGAGTGGTATGGGTCATACGGAAATATTTCCCACGTTTCTCTCACCTTTTGACTCTTTTAGACTTTTCCTTCACAACATGTCATGGTGTTGAAAAGATTTTAAGACTTGTAATTCATACGGATCAATTGAAAGAATGGTCGCTTCGTTGCTGGTCGAACCAAACAGAGTTGTGTGAAATAAATCATTTAGGAAAAGAGGCTGGAATCAACTCATCACTGCTTTCCAGACCTCACTCTGGCTCGAATTCTGTCACGAGAAATACCGCACGAGTATGGCTGGTGGTAATATGTGCCTTAAAGGACTAGTTTATGTTGTACTGGTTTTGCTGGCAAATAGAGTGGAAACTAATTCTCTCAGTGGAAATGCAGTTGTGGACGCAAGCAAAGTTATTGGTCCATTGGAACACTTCTGGGAGAGCACGGGCTTCTGTCCACCAGACCCTCATCAAGACTTTCACAAGTTCATATTCGCAAATGACGAGCTCCAAAACCTGGCTTATGTGGGTTCTGTACCGAACAATGGTATAAAGCAAGTGCGAATTCACTGGCTGCTAGACCTAGTTTCCATGAAATTGGAAAATGATAAACTTGTCTATAATTTCACATTTCTTGACAAAGCAATGAAGCTGCTTATTGAGAATGATTTAAGGCCTGGGTTTGAACTGATGGGAAATCCATCAAATTTCTTTTCAGATTTCGATGATACTGCTCAAATCTATTCTTGGAGAAACCTAGTGGAAAGTTTGGGTAAACATCTCATCGGTAAATACTCAGAATTTAAGAGTGCATTTAGAATGAAGAATGTAGCATAATCCCATGCTTCCAAGGCCTACAAACCCGGACCGTATTCATGACAATTCCGTTCATCGAATTATCCACGTCAAAGAAAACGAAGAATTACATTTTGGTATTTTGAACATACTTTCTGCCATATCTTGCATATTCAAACAAAAATGCAGAATTATAATGCAAAATATGTAATACTAAGCATTGTCGAAGTTAAAATACTCTGCAGAACGTTCAGTGTAGGAATATACTTGTATTGCCCCCCCCTCCACCACCGCCCTCCATCATAATAGCCTTGCAAAGTGCGACATGGGAACACAGAGAGAAAAGACCCAGATAATATTAAATCAGGATGTTGGGCACATAAAGCATGACGTGATATGTGAGATGAGAAGATAAGATGATAGAAAAGAGTCAAACCACAAGGGTCACACAGTAGACTGTCAATACTCACAGAAAGGTTAACTGTATTGTAAAATACAATTTCTTCTACCCAATGCCATTTCACTTTTCTGTTTGTCACTGTTGTACTTTTGTGTGAGCATCTCATTGTTACTCATCACTTAAGCTCCCTCATGTTGTTTAACAGGGTTTTACACCTTCACTGGTAAAATCTATTTTGTTTATGTTGATCTCCCAATCTAGAGATTAACAGCTCTGTATGGGAATCAGATTTCCCTCAGCTGTATTTCTCCCAAGTACTTATTTAATGTTAGACATCAGAAGAAACATCACCTTATGAATGTTTCTGATGTGGTACCACATGTTATATGAGGGAAGTTTTCATCATAGGAGGCAACATCATGTAAAAATAAACTTGCAATTTTTGTTCCATTTTTAAAATGTGTAAGTCATAAAGATGGTTTTTAGGATGCTTTTCAGAACTAGGAAGTCTAACCATTGAGAATTTTCTTCCTGGTGCACCATGGTGGCAGAGTCAATTCTGGTTGATTGCTGGTTAAACAAAAATTATTATTACATATTTTGTGACTCATGACAAAGCTTACTCTGCTCAGCCAATAAAGATAATTTTTTTGCATATTAAGTAGTTTATTGTTCATCTCTTGTTCTTTTATGGCAGAGGCCTTTGGGTTAGAGGAAATTTGTCAGTGGAACTTTGAATCATGGAATGAACCAGAGAATAAACAGCATTTTGATGGTCTCCATGTCTCCACTAAAGGATATCTCATGTATTACGATGCTTGTTCTGAAGGACTTAAGATGGCCCATCCATCTCTGCGACTAGGAGGGCCTGCCACAGGGTACCCAGACAAACATCCTATATTTTGGGTAATTACCTACCTGTGAAACCATCAAATAGTATTAAATAATTAAGGACTTGTTTAGAGGATATCATTTTGTAAGTAACTATTACAAATAGAGGTTTGAGTGGTTTTATTTCTACATCTGCCCTGGTTTTAACTTTTTGTGAAGTTAACACTATCTTTAGATTAAATTTGTTGTTTAGCATATTGCCTAATCATAGTCTTAAGATTTGGCTTCAAAATGTGGAAAGGATAACTACTAACTTTTAATGTTTTAGTGTACTGGATGGTTTGCATTTGGAGAAAAGCAATTGTATAGTATATTATGATAATGCACAATTATGATATATGGCCTGCATTTGATAGATAGAGTGCAAATAATTGACTTGTTTATTTAATTTGGTCTCCTTTGGTCTTTGTTTTACAGTCTCTACTGCAACACTGCAACAATGGTACTAACTTTTTTACTGGGCAGAGAGGAGTTAGACTAGATTTTATTTCTTTTCACATCAAAGGTCAAGGACACTCTTTAACGATTTTACATAATGAAACAGTGGTTATTGGGGAAATTGCTAAACTGATTCCAAAATACATAACTACACCAATATATAATGATGAAGGAGACCCTTTGGTAGGTTGGAATTTAGCTGAAGAATGGAGAGCAGATGCAACATATGCTGCTATTGTTGTCAAGGTGAGAGAAAAAGATCATTGCCTCCTTTGTAATGCAATGCCACTTTTTTGTGCTAATATGACATTTGAGATTTATTACAGAGTAAGTACATAGCAACATGAAATCTATTTGTTAAGCTGTGCATGCTAATTTCTAGTTTTATAGCCACCTATCAAATGTCTTTTCGTTTACTCCTTATCTCTGTTTTGAGGTTCAGGTTTTAAAGTTTTAGTGTTTGAAATCATTAATGGTTTTATTTGTCCCCAGTTAATCCCATTTTATGTTTGAAAATGACACTTTCTTTTTGACAATAAGGTTACTTGGCACTCCTAGTTATGTATGAACCTTAGTTATTTAATTTTGCTTGGCATTTTTTTTTCTTTTTGAAGGAAAGATAATGTAAGATGGTGTGATGTAAGCCAATTCTTCGGCTTGGGTGGTAACTTAGTTGTAGACTGTATTTAGTAATTAGGTTAATCAGTACATAAACTTTAATTGAAGAGATTCTATCAATCTCACTGTGGTGTGGCAGAGTAAATCCAAGTTCTAAGCCAATGCAGATGAACTCATTTTTACAATATTTGCAGATTCTGGTTCAACATCAGGACTGGTTCTTAAAGAGTAATTTCAGCATCAGGTTTGTGATTAGTGATAGTGAAAATCATTCTATCCTCAAGTTTTTTTTTTGATTCAGTAGTCCCTCCAGTGTTATGCCTGACCAGATTTGAGTGTAAAAGAACAAGCTTTTCTTTTATGATTTCTGTTTCATTTCTCATTAGATATAACCTCTTAAGCAATGATAATGGATTTATTAGTTATCCTCCAGTCCACTTCCGTCAACGCACATTACTGGCAAGATTTCAAATGAACCATTCTCATCCACGGAAGGTAGAATTTGTTAAGAAACCAATTTTTAATGTTATGGGGTTGCTAGCACTGCTAGGAAATCAGCAAATTAAGGTTTCTTCTTTTGGAGAAAATGAAGACTGTGGAATTGTGGCGAGTATTTTGAAGCCTCAAAGACACTGTGATACCAATGATTGGGAACTGGCAGCTGTGCTCTACAACAGCAATGATACATCTGGCAGAACTTCTGTCTCAGAAATAAACTTAACTGTTTTGAACTTGCCATTGAGACAAGATGTAGCATTTGTTGTATATAAACTGGATAATGAACATGGAAATCCATTTCAAATGTGGAAGGAGATGGGTTCTCCAATGTTTCCTTCTGATGAACAATTTCATATGCTCCGCCTTCATCAGGTAACCTAGCCAGTGATGAAAATTGATGTGTGATATCAAATATTCCTAAGGGAAGAGCAATCTAATGGGATAGTCCCTCAACAAAACCAACTATGTAGACACAAGTCTATTGAGTAAAAGAGGAGGTGTTATTTGAATGGTGAAGGTCATCTTTTAAGGTAGAAATTCTAATAGATACTATAGGTTTCAATTATCTTTGAATACAAGAGACTCCAACCAAAACAAATATGCAAGATTCTAAAGTTTTGCCCACCCAGTTAGTGGTGAATTTTTTTAAAAGACATTGAGACAAATTTCAAGAGTAAACAATTTCGATTTTCTTCATTCTTTCAAAAGCATTTCAGGAAGAGGGCAACTAATGTCCACATCATTTGAGATAATTACTCAAAGTTGCATGTCATTGACACTTCTTCTTTGTCATCTTATCCTTAGAAAGCAAGGAGCTTGTTGTGAGAGATGAATTGAAATTGAGTTTGAAACCAGCTTGATTGCTGGACAAAAAATTTAAGTTTCAGTTACAAAGAAAAGAATTAAATAAAACCATAGAAAAGCTGAACACTGCTCAGTGCAAGAGAGTCTTAGGATTCAAGATATGGTTGGAATGACAAATTGAATGCTAATCCTAAGTGGTTGAAATTGCAAGGCTATGAATATGTCTACTAAATCTCCAAGATTTATTTTTCCTAGTCAGCCTGGATGATGATATTGGAGGGGGTTAATGTTAAGGCCAGCCCTAGATGTAGTGCAGGGACCAGTCCATTAGAAGTTGAATGTGACTAAAGCCCAGGTGTGGGAAGGATATGGTTTGGACTCCTCAGCCTATTATAGTTTTCTGCTGTTGGTGGAAAGGGCTTTTAAGCCTATTATGACACTATGCTGATTTGCCTGACTAGCAGTCAGGCTTATGCCTCGTCACTGCTTAGCTAGTGGGCTGAAATGCAATTTATGGAGGGTGGTATAATGTTAAAAGCATCATATTTGGGAGGGGGGTTCTTCCAAATGCCTGTCTCCTAAGTTTTTTTCGCTTAAATGTTGGCAATATCCACCTTCAAGCCAGCCTGGCCAATGAAATGCAGGGAAATTGTGTAAGCAATAAAATATGGAACGACCTAAAACCACCTAAAACCACCTAAAACCACCTACAACCACCTACAACCGCAATACAAATCTTGTAAAAATTCTTTAAATCTTTTGCTATTGAGGAAATATAAATATAATTAGCATGCTCTTGCATTTCATTTTGTGAGATGGTTGATTATACAGGGAACCAGGGAGAGTAAGATTTCAGGGGAAGGGGGAGGTTTTGTTCAATTCTAATATTTCATGTGTGTGATGTGTTGTGGTCTTGCCTTATTTTAGACATTTACACCTTGTTTTAAATGGTTTTAGATAGTTTGCGAGTGGCTGTAGATGTTTTGGGGTGGTTGTAGGTGGTTGTCAAAATTTTTGAGGTTGTTGTAGATGGTTGTAGGTGGTTGTAGGTGGTTTTAGGTGGTTTTAGGTCATTCCATGTTTTAGTGCTTATAGGGAAATTGAAGTCAAATCTGGTGTCCATGGCCAGACAATGGACATCTTTTGGTTTTTGTTAGCTTGAAGGCAGGCTCAGCTCTGGCGTAAAACAGGAAGGAGCTTAAAATCAAGTATACCACCTGAAAGGAACTCATTAAGGTGTACTTAAGGGTGGGTTGCTAACAGCTGTGTGTTTAAAGCTTGAGGGTGGGGAGGGTAGGTTTTGGCCAATGGGGTTTACTTTGTGGATAAAAGTTATTGTTTTTTTATGGGAGAGTTCTTCTCAGCCTATTGTTGTCTTGGATGACAATGGTAACTGCCCCCTGCTATTATAATAGTGATCTTGCCAGTGGGCTAGATCACTGTAGTAGGAGGATTGTTATTTTCCCAAGCTGGGGCCTTGGGAAGGGACTTTGAGTTAGTTCTGCCATTGGGTATGGGTTAGGGTTACCGGTAGGTTGAATCCACTAAATTGCACTCACTACATATTACAGTCCATTTATGTCAAGATGTTACCAACTAAATATTTCTTGGCATAGGCCTTAAAAGTCATTGCTCTGAAATCAAACTTGCAATGAGGTTACCACAGAACTATTAAAAAGAAGGACACACACACACCAGGTCAGTTCCATAATTAAACAGTTGAGCACCTTAGTGCCAATCTGTTTGTTAAATGCAGTACTAATTAATTTTTATGTACAGGAACCCATTAGAAGTCTTGGTCCAAGCATAGTCTCTTCCAGTACATTGAACCTCCATCTAACCCTTCCTCTTCCAGGAGTAAGTTTGTTACATGTTTGTGCAAAGACTGTCTCAGCCCCTCCAAAGGTGAGATATGCCACTGGGAATAATATCAAAGTACTTCCAGTTTAATTGGAGCTGATTAAACAAAACCAAGCAATGAGAAAGATTGATAATCTAGCCAATCTAAGCCATACAAAACATGACTTTTAAGATCGAAATCTTTGAAATGTTCTTAAAATATAACCTTTAAAGGGGTACTGGTGGTGTTTATTCAAAAATTTTTTTTCCTAAATAACTTCTTTTATTATGGTCAAATTTCCTTGCCTTTTGTGACACTCCACATTCTAACTTACCATAAAACTGTTGTAGAATGGAAAATATGTGGTGGAGCCTACTAATATTACATTTTATTAACTAAAAAAAATGCTTCTTATGTGTTGAGTCATTAATTAGTAATCTATTTAATCAGATAAATAACAGATTTCAGAGTTTTTCAAAGGCAAGGTCACAATTCATAACAAAGAGGGGGTCAATGATACACATATGTATGCACAATTGAGCTAAATGGTCAGAATATTCTTCGAGCCAAATTTTTGTCAACAGGCTGAAGCTATTAACACTTTTGCTTCAAAGTCTGGCCAGTTCTTATTAAGGTTCAGTTTGCATTCTTGTCTCACTATAGTTTTTAGGCAAGTTTTCATACTGTATATTAATGAAAGCAGACCAAACTAAGAAGCAAAAATGTTAATTAAAGCTGCACCCTTTCAATGGATATGATAATATCAATGACATAATTGTCTTCAGTATACTTCAGGGTTTGACCTTACTATCAAATTATAATAATTTGAGTGTTTTCAGCTTGATGGTCTGAGAGGCCGGGGTTTAGGTGCGTGTAGGGGGCATCTGGACCACTTTCTATTTGTATTATATCCAAAAATTTTTGGGGATGAGTTTTTTTGGCATTTAAGTTGCAAATAACACCTTGTGTCATGCATGTGGGAATGTACCCTGTCCATCCTATCAAGGGCATTGTCCCTGCATTATTGAGTGGAGGCTGAGTGACAACTTCTAAAGATGCATGTGTGGTGTGTAAACACCAAGGGTGCTCTTAGGACTACACAGCCTAAAGCAATTGCACTAGCCTTCAAAGTGGTAAATACTCCTGACCATTAAACTATGCATCCATGAAGTCCTCATTTCCACACCCATGTTTGCAAATCAGGTTCTTATTGGACCTGACCTACACAGAACTCTGTCTTGTTTGTTCAGCTTCATAGATTCAGCTTGACATTCCATCACTTAATGATGTGTGATTAGTTCAATATCTACAATCAGCAGTTGTATATAAATAATAGCTTCTATTTGGGGATAAAATATGCATGGATATTTGTCCATGGACATTATCTGCTCTAAGATGTGAACAGTTTCCTGAGAATGAAGCCCAAGGAAAACGGTGGGCTTCGGGGAGCAGATAATCCAGTGATGATTAAATGAGCATATTTTCGCACAAAGTAGACTGAGGCTATTGTGTTTATTATCCTTCAAATTTTTTTGCAACGTGCAAAAAAAAGTTTATGAACAGCTTACTGTTTGCTGGTAGGGTTTTTTCTTTAGCCTATTCTCTAGTACGACTTTGTGAACAAAATTATATTTCCCTTCTGTAACAACCATAAATGCTCTCTCTTCTTGAATTAAATTTCAAACAAAGACTTGTGGTAGCAGACATAAGGTTTGAAATTGGGGAATATCACTTGGGTGATATCCTTGAATATCTCCCAGTTTTAGCTAGGGGATATTCTGTCACATGATGCATTTAGACCAATTGTGCAGGAGCAAGAATATTTAATGGATCATAATTAACTATAGTTAGTGGGACTCTGTTAGCATATTGTGCTTTTCTTTGTTTTTCACAACAGGTTGAAGGAGTGAGACTCATTTCTGTTTCTCCATATGAGGTTCTTGTGGTCTGGAAGGATGTACCATCAAGGTGAATAAAAATCCTTGCTGTGCTACAATCTGTGACAAAATAGTTCACACACAAATTCTGCAATAGTATGACATTTTTGTTCCTGATACCCTTAATTTTATCCCTCTCTTCCCTTGTCCAGTGTTGCACTATGTTTTCTGTGGTTTTTCAAAAATGGGGGAAATAGATATTGATACAATTTAAAGCTCATTTGAAATATTCCCATCTTTATACTTCTATTAAAGTGGCCAATTCTTACATAGATTGTTTCTGTTAAGTGTATCAAAGTTCTTTTCCAAGTGAAATTTAGTTTTTTCAGGCACTAATTGAAGACAAAATTTTTCAAGTACATAGAAGTAAGGCTTCACTTGTCCATTTGTGATCTCTGACAGTGGTTAAAATGGACCATAGTCACTCATGCTAATTATTTATTACATCCTAAATGGTTGTAGATGCATCACTACCTTTGAAGTCCTGTACTCAGAAAAAAGTCCTGGTGGACCTTTTAAACGAGTTAATGAAATTGATGTTATCTTCACAAGCTTTCATCATATGATGTCTCAAGGTAATAAGACCTAGATATAAAATAGGGTGACCCTAAAAGCCGGAACGGTGGAATAGCGGAATGGCGGAAAATGACCCCAAAATCCTAAAACATAGAACGGCGGAAAATAATCCCAAATCCTAAAACACGG